GGATCATAGACCTAAATGTAAAATGCAAAACTATAAAACTCCTAGAAGATAACATGGGAGAAAATCTAGGTGACCTTTAATTCGGTGATGAGTTTTTAGATACACACCAAAGGAACGTTGATAGTATGTACCCTGGATACGATGTAATGTAAATGGTACTTTACCTCTAGGGTCTTCCTCCCACAAACCCATAACACCAGTCTAATCGTGGTAAAAAAACACATCAGACAAATTCCAATACAGGAGCATATACATTATTCATCACTACAACCCTATGAGGTAGGACCTCTTTTTAGGATAGAAGAGATTTGAGTATATTTGTAGGCTAAGAGAAAGACTCTAATGCAGAGTGAGAGATCAAAGAGGTTAGAGATGGGATGATCAATCACACAAGGTTCTAAAGGAGTAGTTTCAGACTTTCTTCTGCATCAGAATTACCTGAAGGGTAATGTTAAATTACCCTTGTTAAAATGCAGACCCCCAGGTCTCACCTATAGATTCTGATTCTGTAGATGTGGGTTGGGTATTATTTTTAACTGAATAAATTTAACATGTAACATTGTGTAAGTTGGGTTGTTTTTTTTTGTTTGTTTGTTTTTTGCGGGGGAAGATTAGCTCTGAGCTAACATCTGTTACCAATCTTCCTCTTTTTTTGCTGAGGAAGATCAGCACTGAGCTAACATCTGTGACAATCTTCCTCTATTTTGTATGTGGGATGCCACCTCAGCATAGCTGATGAGTGGTGTAGGTCCACGCCTGGGATCCAGACTCGAAAACCTGGGCCACCGAAGCAGAGTGCACCGGACTTAACCACTATACCATGGGACCAACCCCATGGTTGGGTATGTTTAACAAGCATCCCAGGTGATTCCAATACAGCCGATCCTAGGACCATAGGTTGAAAGCACTCCAGGGCTCAGATGAAGGCATTAACCTTGCATGGAGAAAAAAGAAAATGCTGCACTCTATGTGTGGACCAGGGGCTGGTGGAGTTTTATCTGGCGGCCTCCTTTCTTTATGAGGTAGGAGATGACATCTCTGTGAACAATGGGCTATTTGTAGCAGCAGGGTGCCAGGAAAAAGCAGTCAGGTTGTAACAGAAATGGTAGGAATGGGAGAAGATGCTTGCATGGGACAAGGGAAGGGATTCTGAAGCAACACTTTTCCTGGAAATCAAAATTGTAAAGAAGATGCGATCTCCTTGTGAAGGATGGGGAACACACTACCATTAGTTTTCTACAGATCTTAAAGGGGTGGTGGGCGGGAGCCTAGAAAGAAACTGAAAGAAAACAGACTCCCACAATTGTAATTGTGAGGGTCCTGAACATCACCACCTGTCTCTACTAAAGAGAGAGCATGGTGTAGAACTCACAAGTCGTGGGGCTAGCCAGACTTCCTAGCCTCTACCACTTAGTCTCTCTGTGCCTACTCTCTTCATTTGTAAAACGGAGATAGTAACAGTCTCCACTTCATAGACTGATACTAAGTTCTAAATGAGTTAACACGTGTAAAATCATTAGAGCAATGCCTGGCCCCTGGCAGACATCAAACGAATATTAGCTCATTCACGTGCCACAAGCAATATCCTGCCTGAATTGGACACAAATAAGTCAATTAATCTTCAAACACAGATACTTTTGTCCCCATTTTACAGATGAAGAAACTGAAAGTAAATAGAAAACAAGTTGTTTGTCTAAGTCCATCAACTAGTACATGAGCTAACAGGAACTGGAGACCACGTCTTCCAACTCCAGCTGCGTTTTCTGAGTGTCTGCTCTGTGCCAGGTTCTGAGGAAGGTGCTTTTTATCACGTCAGCTCTTGCCATGTGTTTGCCCTATTATCAGTTGAGGATATGGAGGATAGAGTTAAGGCCAAACTACAAAGAGTTGGTGGAGCCAGAACTGGAGAGAAGTCAGGCTGGCTCCAAGATGGCACCCCTCAGGGCTCCCACCCTCTGGATGGAATCTACATGACCGCACACCACGCTGGTTGGCTCTGAGTGCTAGAGGCTGGTGCTTACTAGGACCTATGAGAGAATCAGTGATGAACCAATCTCAGTTCTGTCTGCAAAGCTCATAGCTTTGTGGAGAATATAAGATAAGTGCACACAAAGCTTCGAGACAAGGTGAAAAGGTGCTTGGGAGCTCAGAGGGAGGGAGCCCTTCTAGCTGGAGGTGCCATTTGGAGGTGAACATTGAGGGAGAGTAGGCTTGGGGCATGTGGACCAGGGGACAGGGTGAGGGTAAGCTTAGTGGAGAAGGAGACATAGAGAACTCCCAAGAATACCCAATTAATCAGCCAGTGTGTGCAGAAGACTTGTGGAAGGTGAGATTCGAAAGGGAATTTGGATTCTGTTTGCAGGGAGCTGGAACTATGAAGCTATCGAGTTTGAACTTTAATTCTTTAGGCAACGGGGAGCCATGAGTCATGTTGTTTTTGGTTTTTTGCAATGCTTCTTAAAATTAATGTTTTTTACTTTGAGATAATTGAAGATTCACATGAAATTGTAAGAAATAATACACAGAGATCCCAAGTAACTTTTACTCAAGTTTCCCTCAATGATAATATCTTGCCAAGCTGTAGCCAGTATCACAACCAGGATCGTAACACTGATATAATCCTCTGTTCTCATTAGATTTCTGCAGTTTCACTTCTACTCATTTGTGTGTGTATTTAATTCTATGGAATTTTATCATATTTGTAAATTTGTAAATCAACAACCACAGTCGGACACAGAACAGTTCCATCACCATAAAATCGCTCATGCTGCCCTTTACAAGCAAACCCACCTTCCTCTCATTCCCCTTCCTCATCCCTAACCCCTCCTACTAATACCATTTCTATAATTTTATTTCAAGAATGTTACATAAGTGGAATCATATACTATATAATCTTTTGTGATTAGCTTTTTTCACTCACCATAATTCTCTTGAGATTCATCTAAACTGTTGTGTGTATCAATAATTCTTTTTCTTTGACTAGTGTTCCAGGATGTCGATGTGCCATAGTTTAGCCATGATTCACCCGCTAAAGCACAGCTAGATTGTTTTCAGCGTTTGGCTACTATGAATTAAGCTGCTGTAAATATTTGTGTACAAAATTCACACATAAAGTTGTGTGCATTTCGTGTGAACATAAGTTTTCATTTCTCCAGGATAAATACCTAGGAGTGTGATTGCTGAGTTGTAGGTTTAGTTTTATAACAAACTGCCAAAATGCCTTCCAGAGTGGCTGTACCATTTTACATGCCCACGGGCAGTGTGTGGGTGAGCTGGTATCCCTGCATCCTCATCAGCTTTTAGTGTTATCACTATTTTTTATGTGTGTGAGGAAGATTAGCCCTGAGCTAACACCTGTTGCCAATCCTCTTTTTGCTGAGGAAGATTGGCCCTGGGCTAACATCCGTGCCCATCTTCCTCTCCTTTATGTCAGATGCCTGCCATGCGCATGTCAGGGCCAGGAGCCAAACCCCCGGCCGCCAGAAGCTGACCGCGCCGACGCAACCGCTACGCCGCCAGGACGGCCCCGTCACTATATTTTTACTTTAGCTATTCTGATAGGGCTGTAGCACTATCTCATTGTGTTTTAAGTTGCATTTCTCTTATGTACGTAGAACCTGTGTAAGCCATGGGAAATCCTCCCGAGAATTCTGAAGTCGCGTATTAGTTGGACTTTTCCTCGGATGGACAAACACTGGCTTTTGTAGTGGACAAATGTTTCCTGAGTGAAGTGAATGTGACATGGTGAAGTGCCCAGCGCCCGTGGTGGCCAGGATTCTAACTGCCCATTCTGCGCTGAGGTGAAGGCACTAAAATGAGGCTCAGGAAGGGCTAACCCCTTAGGGGTCAAAGGGCATAGAAGCGGTGAGGCCTGCCGTAGCTGAGAGATGGCCTGCACAGAACTAAACGCGCAGATCTTGTTGGCATACCCACCTGCGTGGACCAGGGCCTGCCTGTGAACGCAGGCCCTCTCCCGCGCTGGGCTGCGGGGACAGCCACTCCCGAGTGCCAGACGCCAGGCAGACCGCGGGGGGGCGCGCCTGGGCTCGCCTGCCTGGCACGACCTGGTCCCTCACTCCGTGTACCGCGCAAGCGGAGTCTGCAGCCCGCGCCCCCGCCCGCGCGCCCTGGCGCTGCAGTCCCCCCCAGCAGCTGGGGCATTTCTCCCGGAGCCTCCGAGCGCGCGGTTGTGCCCGGCTGCGCTCCGGCCGCTGCGCCAACTGCGCGATCGGCTGCCGCCCCTGGCGCCCCGGCCAGGAGCGGGTTCGCCGCCAGCACCCCTGGTGCCCGCCGCGGAGGGAGGTAAAACCGTGTTCCACCTTTTTCGGGCACTCGAGTGCGAGGTGTGGCGGGCGAATCAGCCTGTACCGCTGCGGGGTGGGAACCGGCGTGCGCGGTGTCCTGGACATCCCGGGCACAGTCGCTGCGGGTAATGGGGGGGTCTCTATTGGTGCCACGAACTCAGCACTCTGACCCGGTGGGTTCCCTGGGCGCCCTCGCTGACCCGTGGTCGCACCTGGATTGTGGTCTCCGCGGCGTCCAACCCTCGACCGCGGTGACGGATCGTGTCGGAGACGTTAATTTTTAACTTGAGGGGAGAGAAAGTAACGCTTATTAGGGGGGAAAGGTTTGGGAACATCGCTCGGATGTGTGTGTAAGGGTTGGAGAGCTGTCCATTATTACAGCCTCTCATTCTGTAGCTAGAGAGTGGAGTTGTGTGGGGTGAAAGAAAATGGGTATGACGCCGCCGGGAAGGTCACGGTCAGGTGTCCTCGGAAGAGATACTGAGTGTCCTCCCCTCCTCCGCGCGCGCCCGGCCTGTCGTGGGTGCCTGGGCTGGGCAGTGAGCGGGCTCTGCTTCAGAGGAGGCGGTGCGGCTGGGGAGCGAGTTGAGACCCTCCGCAGCATCCCTGGGAGCATCTGGCGGGGCAGACCTCTGAGAAGGTTGCAGGTTAGAGCCTCCATCTCACTCTCCCTTTCTTCCTCCCCAGGCCTCCCTGACTGCTGGCTAAGTGCCAGAGAAGTTTTGCAGGCGCCTCTCCGCCAATTCCTGACCATGGGCAACTCCTGCTTCGTCTTTAAGGAGCGGCTGATAAAGAGGCTGCGGCCTCTGCCCACCCTGCTTGTCATCCGCGCCTTCGTGCCGCACCCGAGGGGCAAAGATTACCGCGTGGTGGTGCTCGGCCCCGCCGGCGTGGGCAAGAGCGCGCTGGTGCAGAGGTGGGTGCGCGGCAACTTTCGAGATGCCTATCTGCCAACCATCGAAGATACCTACCGCCAGGCGCTGGGCTGCAACCACAGCAAGGGCGCGCTGCACATCACCGACACCACTGGCGGCCAGCGCTATCCCGGCCTGCAGCGCCTCGCCATTGCCAGGGGCCACGCCTTCATCCTGGTCTACTCAGTCACCAAGAAGCAAACCCTGGAGGAGCTGAAGCCGTTCTATGAGCTGATCCGCGAGATCAAAGGCAACAGCTTCCACAAGTACCCTATCGTGCTGGTCGGCAACAAATGCGATGAGAGCCGCCGGGAGCTGACCGCGAGGGATGGCGCTGCTCGCGCGTTGGAGTGGAATTGCGCCTTCATGGAGACCTCTGCCAAGACGGGTGTCAACGTGCAGGAGCTGTTCCACATGCTACTGAACCACGAAAAGAAGCCCGCCACCTGCCTCCAGCCTTCCCAGAAGAAATCCCATCTGCCGAAGGCCGCGGAGAAGCTGCTTGGCAAGTGCAACATCATGTGAGCCCCGGGCCTCAGGAGCCCGGCCTTCTCCTACAGCGCCCGCAAAGCATGCCGCCGCCCCAGTGTAACGCATCACCTGTACATGACTGACTGTTGTGCTGTGGTTTGGGTTGTAACAACTAGACGTCAATAGATGTCCTTTGTAAGTTAACTTTTCTTTTTCCCAGGCAACAGAATTCAAGTTATTAAAACATTGCCATTGCAGGAGGAGGAGAAAAAGGAGCTGGATGAATTTAAGAATAATACTTGGACAGACTTGAGAGATGAATGTTCGGAAAAGAGAATGAAATACCAAAATGAATTGAAAGATGCCACTCCCGTTCTTGTAATCCTCTTACCGTGTATTATTTTTAAACATTTCAAGTCCTGTAAATGTTTAATCATATCTTTTCAATGTGTATTTAACTGTTAAGAAATGTGTTTTTGCAACAAAAGCTTTGACAGATGACTGTGAGACAGATATACTAAACAAGATAAATAAATGAATATTCTATAGCTGAGCCTTGAGGGTGGGGGCAGAGAAAATTGTGAAAGTGGAACTTGCTTACTAAAGATGTGCCACTTGTTTCCTAAGTCATTAAAAAATGTTTGGGTATTGCGCATAGCATTTTTAAAAAAGTGTAACTGTTCTATGACTTAATAAAGCTTTTCCTGCATGGAATCAGCTGTAATAATTTCTTTTTCACTGGACAATAAAAAAATTACCCATTACATTACAATTTCAATCACATCTGGCAAAGGTTTCTAAGATTTCACACATGGAAGCCCCTGCCCTCTTGCAATTAGCCAACGGGGGGTGGGATTAAGGGATCCCTGCAGTGTAGAGCTGGTTTGCCTCTGTAAACTTTCCGGGACTGACATCTGAGGAACTCCAGGCGTCTTTGAAGAGGATGCTCGCTCTGTTGCTGTCTTGGAGGTAGCTGGCGCAAAGCAAACCTCAGCCTTTGGCTGCCTCAAAAGTCTCCCCTCAAGAAATACTGGGTATAGGGAGTAGGGAGGGTGATGGGAGGTAAGGGGAGAAATGGGTGGGATTTGAAATTTGAGCAATTCCTTCTTAAGGGAGTTTTTAAAAGGATTAATTTTATATTTGAACATAATTCTTGAGTGAGGAATACATCTCTATACATGTCCTTGCTTTTGAGTGTTTATTTAATTGGGGAGGAAGGGGAGGCTTTTAATCTGGTGATTTTTTTCATAAAATATTTATTATTGAACAAATATTTATTGAACAATTCATATGTATTTTTAAAATGATTTCTTATAGCTTGATTCTTAGGGAAGAAGCAGACTGTTGAGAACAATTCATAAACATCTATTTCATAGTAGTACAGAGTTTTGAGCTTAGAAAATCTATTCAGTGGCTCCTTTTAAATAGTCAGTTATTTAAGATTTTCCCCACTCACTTTCAAAGCAATTATTCTCAACCACTGGAAAATACCTAAGTGGTTCTGCCATATCGCTTTTTATATATTCTTAAAAAAAAATAGTTCTTTGCTAAAGTCCCTAATGAAGTAATTCTATTTCTAAAAGAAAAAACTCTATCTTGGCTATTTTCCGGGAGAATTCTCCTTGAAAAATGTATTGTATTCATTGTTGCTCATTGTAGCTGAGCAAAGGGATTACTAAGTGGCAAATACTACCCTTTAGAAAGGGGAGGATGTGTTTTTAATGTTGCAAGTAATGCTTAGTAAAAAATATTTTGTCATAGCAAATATTTATATAGTCTATTTACATGCCCATGTTTCTATATCACATTAGACCAAACATTTATATGATCTATCTATACGCCAACGTTCTACATTATATTATTTTAATCCTCACAACAATCCAGTGGATACTGTTATGCCCATTTTGCAGATGGGGACACTGACAAAGGTCACAAAACCAATAACTGGCAGGGCCAATATTTGAAGCTGGGTGTCCTATTCCAGAGGTGGTGCTCTGAACCACCGTGGTGCACTTCCTTCTTAAGATGACCTGTCAAAAGACAAATGAGATGACTTTTCTGCTCTCTATTTGTATTATACAGATGTGGAAAAGGAAGCTTCCTCAGAGCCTCCTCAGAATCCAGATGGGAGGCAAAGAAGCAAATCAACAATTACAACACTTGTGGGGTCGTTTAGAAACAGGAGAGAGAGGCACTTGACACCAGGAGCTGGAAAGCTTTTCTCCGAAGAGATCACGTGGCGGGAATCTTTCAGTCCTGGCAGGAGTCAGTTTAGGTGGAGTGGGTGTGGGTGCGGGAAGGAGAAGACCACAGTGCAGGCAGACAGAGCAGTGTGGACAGAGGTCAGAGGTCACAGCAGGTTTCCAGAAATGGATGGAGCAAATGGTGGAAGAGGAGCCTGAAATGTTAAGAGTGTAGAATTCATTCTTTAGAGGTAATGGGGGATTACTAAAGAATTGAAGCAGCATTGATCAAATTTGCATTTAAAAAAAAATCACTCTCGAGCCTCTTTGGAAGAGGCACTGGAAAGAGGCAGGTAAAAAAATTTAAAAACTATTAGAATAGTTCAGGAATGAGATTTTGAGTAAATGCTCTAGGCATTGCCAGAGAGAATGGAGACAAAGGGATGGATTTGAGATCTACTTTGTAGGGAGAAAGGCCAGAGCTTGGTGATGAAACCAACGTGAATGCCACGTTTCTGACTGGGATTCCTGGGTAGGTTATGGGGTCATTAACTAAGTTCAGAAAGGCAGAAAGAAGAGCCAATTTGGGAGAACATCTATTTGCACAAGCACGTGAGGATAAGTCACATTTTGGATAAAAGTTGTTAGGACAGCTATGTGGAGGTTTCCAATAGGAACTAGTCTGGGATTAAGGACTGGAGACAATGCTTTGTAGTTTTCAGCATATACAGTCGTCCCTTGATATCAGTGGGGGATTGGTTCCAGGACCCCGGCAGATAACAAAATCTGCGCATGCTCAAGTCCCTTAGTCAACCCTTCTTTGTATCTTCAGGTTCTGCGTTCGTGGATACCGAGGGCCGCCTGTAGCTGGTGGCAAGGCTGTGGAGGGAGAAAACCAGAGGCAAGGTAAAAGGATTTAGGACAGAATTCTGAGGAACACAAGCACTTAGAAAGCTACTGACCCAGAGGAAACTGTGAAGGACACTTAGAAGTGACCAAAAGACAGGAGGAAATTCATAATGTGCAGTAATAAATGTTGAAGGGAAAATGAGCTTCAAGGAAAAGCATGTACTCTAGCATAGCAAACAGTTTTAAAAAATAGAATAATATGAGGATTCGAAAGTGTTGCTGAGATTTAGCAGTTAGGAGATCTGTGGTTCCAGCCAAGCCAGAGTAGCCCCTTCCTCCTAGGTCCTCCTCCTTTACAACTAAAATAACCCTGGACACGACACAACGAGTGAGCAAAGGAAATCCCTAGAGGTGGAAAGAAGTGGGCTGCCTGGAACCTCGGGATGCGAGGGATGACGTGATGGCGATTTCCCTGAGCTTCCTTATTGTCTCCCATCCATCCTGGACAGGACACTGCAGAGGCCTCCAGGTTAGAACTGCCAACAGGCACAGACAAAAAAAGTGCCAAAAAAGCACCTTCCCTCAAAGGACCAGGAAAACGGTGATTTAATGACAAAATCTTTTGGGCAAAACGCACCCTACTCCAGGTAAACACCAACAGCAAAACCCCTGCTCCTCTTCCTCCCCGCAAAGGGAGCTGGTCTTCCACCCCACGCTACCCTGGTCTTCCACCCCACTCTATCCTGGTCTTCCACCCCACTATATCCGCAGATGGCAGCGTTCTGATGGCCCTCCTGGTGCTGGACGACGGGCAGAGCAGGGTGCTGATTTTCTATCCCAGAGCGGTAGGCTCCCCCCAGCCCCTCCCCGCTGGCGGGGTGATGGCGGTGGGCTGAGCAGGAGGCTAAGGCTCTCAGTCCCCTTCTAGAGTTGTCAGCAGATGCTTATCAGGGAGCGGGGCCTCCTCTGCACCTGTCGGCAATGAGACTGAATGGCGCGCTGGTTCTCTCCACCCCCACTCCACCACGGGGCTCAGCCTCCTTGACCTTACGTAATACTCAAGTTTGAGACGAGACCGCCTCTTAGGGCTCTCCCCACAAAAGTCATAAATGAGACAGAAAGTTTACATTATTACTGCTTGGATGGGGGCAGGGAGGACATAAACCATCCTAACCATTCTTTGAGCCAACAGTGTTGAAAGGAGCTGGAAGCTGTAGCTTCTGTTTTTGGACTATCCGACATCGTAGCCTCCAACCGTGTGCGAGTCTGCACGGAAATGTGGCTAGTTCAAGGTGAGATGTCTTGCAAGTAAAATACCCTCTGGACTTACTGGGAAAAGAATGAATGTAGAATACCTCATTTTTTATATTTATTACATGTTGAAGTGATAATATTTTAGATATAGTGCGTTAAATGAAATATATTGTTTAAATTAATTTGGTGTTTTTTATTTTTTTAAATGTGCTACCAGAAAATTGTAGATTACATTTGTGGCTCATCTTTGTGGCTCTCATTATATACCTATTGGGCAGTGCTGATCTATATTAAGAGTAGCTGTTGGAACTATTTCTAGTTTGATTTTGATTACCTACATTGGTTAGCATCAACAGTCAAGCGTCGAAAAATGTTAGCATGTATTTAAAGCAATATGTTTTGTCAGATGTTTAAGTAACTTCACGAAATTCAAGATTATCAGAAACGTAACAAAATCCACTGAGAGGTATGTTTGCATATAAATGAATTTGAATAGTACACCTATAAGCTACATCTGTAAACCTGGGCCCACAGGCCCAGAGCTTGGAAAAATAAATACGTCAGACAGTGAATTTAGGGAGTTGGTGAGGATTAAAATAAGTAAAAACTGAAAATATGCCCTTTGCACTGATATGATATTTTTCCAGGCTAGTGATACTGACAGACCTGCCATCTGTTTGACAGTGAGAAGTGAAAAAGTGGAGGAAAGAAACCTGGTGTGGAGGTAAATACAGTTTTGTAAACTGAGATTCAATAAATTTAACTATTTGACACCGGGATTGT